TATTACTAGGAAATCCAACTAACAACAAGCTACAACCTCATCAGGGGAATATGGCAAAAGGGTTTAAGAGCAGTGCAAGCTGGATCAGTGTGTGATGCCAGACAGAGGAGAAAGTGTTTCTTTTGAAACTGTAAGTTGTCATTGCTAATGCTGCTGATTATATTTATTTCCCAATTCGGCTGAAAATCAAATGTGATTGTAAAATGCAACGTAAAGGATCTTAAATATAATTGTTGTACAGTTATGATTTTTTCTTTAACTTTTATTTTTAAAATGTACCAGCCTTAGATTATGTTTTCAGATTACAATAAATAATCCCAAAAAATGAAATAAATATGACTAACTACAATTATGTCTTCTTGACATTTTGTTTCAATTGAAAGGGATATGTACAGTATACATAAACTATTCATTTGTGTTTGAATGTACAGTATGTGCATGAAGGTTTTATTACACTTTTGTATTGTGTTTATGTACAATATAGATTTTAATACATTCTCTTTAATACTTTAATACAAATATTGTTGTAGTATGACATTTATTACACTTTATATTGTGTTTATGAATATATTTTAATAGATTCTGTTCAATACTGCTATTTTGTGGTAGTGTGCCATAATTATAGAGGTTTAAAGATGTTTTAAAGCTGCATGGTTTTTTCTGTAACACCTGCCCTTTGAAGCTCATGTTCAACTAAATGAAACACATTAATTAAAAGCAGTTCTCTCATTTACAGGTAACGGTAATTTCAAATTACCAGCAGTGAGATTGAAATGCAGAAACAAGAAAGTGGAAATGTTTCCCACACTGAATTTCTTTTAATAGGATTTTACGGACTTGAAGAACAGCGATGGCTTCTATTCTTCCCTTTCTTTCTGATGTTCATGTTGTCTACTGCTGTTAACTCATTCCTTATATTTGTCATCAAAACACAAAGGAGTTTACACTCTCCAATGTGTGTTTTAATAGGAGCCATGGCATTTGTAGACCTGAGTCTGCCAGTATTTTTTGTCCCTAAAATGCTGCTGAGCTTCTTATTTAACTGGAATGGTATTTCTCTAGTAGGGTGTTTGGTCCAAATGTTTTTCATTCATTTCTTTGGCGCATTTCAATCATCCATTCTCCTCTGGATGGCTCTGGATCGCTATGCTGCCATATGCATTCCACTGCGCTATAATGACTACATGAACCCTTCTTCTTCTGCTAAATTTGTTGTTGCATCTGTTCTCAGAAATGGTATTTTCATTCTGGTTATTGTCATCCTCGCTGGTTATCTCTCTTATTGTTCCTCAAATGTCATTGACCATTGTTTCTGTGAACACATGGCCCTGGTAAGTTTGGCCTGTGGAAGCACGTCTGTAAATAGTATTGTGGGGTTGACCACAATTTTCTGTGTAACAACACTTGACTGTGTGATTATGGTTGTCTCTTATGTCAAAATTTTCATTTTGGTCTTTAAAACAGCATCAGGAAAATCTTCCCGAAAAGCAATTCACACCTGTATTACCCACATAATAGTCATGTGTGTTTCTTACTTCTGTGCTATGACATCTTTTTTTGCATACAGGATTAAAAATTCTATCTCTCCCAATGTCCGTGTACTAATAAGTACAATGTATCTACTTTTTCCCAGCTGTTTTAATCCAATAATTTATGGGATCAGAACAAAAGAGATAAGAGAGCAGATACTCAAACTAATTAAAAGATCACAAGTAGCACAAACCTCTGTTAAAGTGTCAAGTGTGAATCACAACTGACATGGAGGAATGATTGACTCATAACTGTGAAATATACTGATTCAGCATAATTTCAAATAATGACATTATTTTAAATGCATGGAGATAATATAAAAACTAAGAAGTACAGTATATCAGCGATGTCCTTCCAAAATTGTAATAAACTGCAACAGTCCAAAATCCTGTACCTTCTTTTATATTATCTTTAACAAATGCATTTAAAACTCAACAATTATTTTTTATTTATTTTTCTTATTTTCTTCATTTGGATTTTGTTTTCTTTTTGTAAAAGACCAGGATTAACTGTATTCTTGCTTAATTTAGGTACGATGACATTTTCCAAAACGGATCATTCTGTCAGGCTTTCACACTGTACTACTTTCAGCTGGGTCCTTAATCACTGGTGACCATTGATGCATGTTATTGATCTGCTTAATTGTTTCAATGTCTTCCTATACTTTCTCCTTGGTTTAAAAAATACCCTGAATAAATTGTGTTTTAAATAACTTCAGTATATAGAACGTGTACTTCTTTATTTGCAAAACAAAGAAACATTTTGCAAAATTTGCTTTCTTTATTTTTTATGAAAAATCTTTTAGTGATCAATCCATTATTGACAGCCACAGGTGAGAATGATAATATTTCAAATGGTTGCTCTGATTTATCTTTCTACAAACTGGTTATATTGAGAAATTTTAGAACTCAGGAACTGGCACAGAGAAACCTTTTTATGACGTGGAAGATGTTTTAAAATTGCACCTAAAATATAAAATTCAAAATCAATTTGCCTGTGATTAAAAACATGGATAGGTAAAAAACACAAGAAGTCACAGCGATGCCCAAGGACTAAGACTGATAGCTACTGCTGCAGTATAAACTCGTGAACTAAACATATGCATTAACAGTCTTATTACTTCCTTCTCTGGATTTTTAATTTACTCGTATAAGAGTAAAGAGTCTGTTAGCAGTTCACTTCATTATATTTTCTATCTGTATTTAGGTAGAAATCCCAGACAACTTAGCTGATGTAATGATGTAACCTTGCTCAATTCAGTTTGGAATTCGGTTTATGCAGCAAGCCCTGGAGAATCGTGAGCCCTCATGAGAATGTGACGGTTTCCCAGGGAAACCGCTAGATGGGAGATGTCATAATGGGCACGATCATGACACGAAATAATAATTTTAATGAATTGCTTGGATTTTAATTAATTATTTAATGCCAGCACATTCTGTTTTTCTTTACACATCCGTGAGCTGCCTTGCTTTGCAAAAATTGAAGTAAATCATTTGCAAGATAATATGGGATCGATGCTAGTACATGAAAAAGACATAGTGATGGTGCTAAATAAACAATTCATATTTCTCAGTAACCTTCAAAAAGATCTTTTCCTTGGTGTTTTTATTATACGGATTGGGCTTTTTTTTCCTGAGTAAAAAAAGAGACAAATCTCAAAGTCTCAAACAGAGCTCACCTCTTGTCCAGACCATGCACCACTGTTACATT